GCCACGGGGAGAAATCATTGAACGAAATCGACATTCGGCACCGAGCATAGTAAAATTTATTGCACTTTTTCCGCTGCCGCGCAATCCTTTGTCATGGCCCGAAAAAAATACGAAACGAAAAAAAAAACCGACTCTGACCCAAGCAGCAGCAACACTTTCAACTCCAATCCGAGAAACAATGAAAACTCTTTCAAATGCAGCAGCGGCAGCAGGGAAAACAAAACGAGAAACACATTAAACTGAGACCTGGAAAAAGGCAAAAAATGAAGAAAAAACATTTTTCACGAATTAACGTGGCCAGTGAAGCCGAACAGCAAAGGTTTTTTATAATTGATTTCCTGCGATTGCGGAGCAAACGAGAAAGAAAAGCCTTCAACAACAGCAGCAACTTGCAGCGACCCAACAGCAACAATATCATACGAAAAAAGTTTGAAAATTTTTCAAAATTTAATTTAAACACTTACTTTATTGAAAATTATTAAAATACTGGTAGGTTTACCTTTAATCCTGTATTTTTTACGATCTATAGGCTTTCTTTTTTATTAAAATATTTGACCTTTTCTATGCTGCTCCTTTAAAAAGATTTAATAAAAAGTATTACAACAGTTAGACATTTTTTTCCTAAATTTTAAAACTTAAAAGATAAATTAATATATACTCGAAAATGTATTTAATTTGATTTCATTTTCAAAATCGCATTCTCTTGTTATTAGGCCCAAATGATAATATTTCTCTCTGTGTAGCATCCTGAGCCGGTCCACTCCGAATCGGACTACCGTGCAAACCCATTTCGCAGTTAACAGCGCAACAAATAAAAATAAATTATACCAGAAAAAATAGCACAAAATATTGTTGGGGTAAAACACAACGAAAATAAAAAAAATATCCATACACACATTAGTTTATTTGTATGCAAGTCGTTGCATTGGCGAAAAGAGAAAACCGAACGGCAACAAAAGATGAAGCTAGAGAGAAAGGGAGGTGGGAAGGTGGAAAGGTGAGCTAAGAAGGTTAAAAATCAAGCATCAAAGTGAAGTGCAGGGTACTAAAGTGTCCAGTCTTAGGGGACTTCAAATGCACTTTGCAAATATGGCCTGAAAATTGTTGACCTTAAAAAAAGGGAAGCTAGTTAAAAAAATCACCAATGCACTTTTTCTTAAAATTTTTACTTAGTAATATTAAAACAAAAATTGCGATATTATTATAAAATATTATTCTATGTATATATTTATATTATTATTAATATTTTCTATATATTTATGTATTTATAATATGATTATAATATTTATGAGTACGAACTCTGGACCTCATATTTTTAAACCATATTACTACCCGTACAACTTGTTCCATTTATATAGGGGTCTTAGGCTCTCAAATTTAGGTGCTAATAAATGATTTTAATTTTTACCTTACCTGATCCTAAGAACACATGCCCCGTGCATCTTGAGATGGATCAGTGGGTCACTTCTCTTACAATTTTATTACTACTTATACCTGACGACACCTTAGGGGATGCGAGCACGCACTTGGTCTCACGATCCACGGATGATGTTCGGGAACAGATAATGCCGGCCTGACCCATATCAAATCCAAACTCCCTCGCAGTCGCATTGTACCGCAGTCCAAGAAAAAAAAGGTTAACACAAGACCAAAAAATAAAAACTGAGAAAAAAAATTGAGGAAAAAGAAACGCTGAAAAACAACACAACAATAACAAAGTGGATGGAAAAAAGTACGACCATCAACACGATCATCAACGAGAACCATAAATAAGACTTAAATGGCATGAAAAAGGCAAAGCAACAACAACAACAATGGTGGCTGCAATCAAAACGCAGGCTATAGCCATTACAGCAACAACAACAAAGGCAACAACGTTAACCACAGCAAACAACTGAAAAGAAAAAGCAGCGAAAAAAATACAACAAAAATTATCAAAAACCAAAAAAAAAGAGAGATACAAAAACACCAAACGAAGTCAACGTTATATATCGACTATAAAAGCAACAAAAACCACATCGGGCAGCCGCACCTTCGAACCCCCACACATCCACACGTACCTGTATAATCTCGGTTACCATATGTATATATACCTACGTATATATCTGCTGCCTCTGGCTGCTTCCTCTTCCTCATGCTCCGACTTTAACTCCGATTTCGACTTCGGAGCGAGGAGCCTGCAGCGTTTGGGGATCGAGCGACCCGAAATGACGAGAAACCAGAAGGTTAGGGAAAGGAAAACGAAGTTCAGAATACCTTTTCATAGTAACGATCTAAAATTTGAATAATGATAATGTTATACTACGAAATTGTGCCCAAAATTGTTAGAATACGAAATTTTTACTAAGTAAATCACAAACGATTTTAACTAAATTAGAAGTATATACACCGTAATTTTTTAAAAACTTTGAATTTTCAATCTGAAATATTTGTTAGGGCTAATGGGATATCTTCGAAAAATAGTAATTTAATTGCTAAATAAAAACTAGATTTGCGATGGCTTTTTTGTGACAATTTTAATCGAAAAATGTTTACTAAAACATACTAAATTTATTTTGAAGTTATAGATTGTATAACATTAACGAAATAAAAAATTTGTAGATTTAGCCCGAAAGTGATCGGGATGGACCGTAAAATTCTACAAGGCCTTTCCCAATCTGACTTATACAAAGAATACTAGAAATATTTAATAAGCGAAATTGTAGTATTTAAAAAAATAAATCTTCTTAGTTATGGTTTGAACCCTGAAAAGGATTGTCTTTAAAGTTTAGGTATTATTTCCAACAAGTTCTGTTTATATAATGGAGCTCTTGTTTATATTTAAAAGAAACAAAACGTCACAATTCTTAGAAACTATCCCCATGAAGGGTATTTGCAATCACATCGAGCGACGGACGCGTGTTGCTTCACCGTATCTTTGACTCAATCTCGAGGCAGCCTGGCCGAACCGTCTTGGATCTTTGAGTCCCCATTCGATCCGCAGCATGTGCCTCCCCCTGCAAAGGCCCCAACCCAGTCCCCTTTAAGTGGTCCTGGGTTGGGCGATAGTGGGGCGGAGATAATTCCAGGTGAGTGCTGAGGGCGGCGATGATGAACCCTCACATCCAATTGAGGGGCGGACGGCAGTTTCGTTTTGCTTTACTCAGCTCGGAGTGAATCGAAACTAAGGAAATCCTTCGGCATTCAAAGATCAGGTCTGCAAGTTAAAAGTTAAGAGCATAACCTGAGCAATTAAAATACCTCGTTTAAAGCCATAACAAATGGATTAGATAAATAAACTTGGCGCCGGACAATCCTCTGAATATGTATATGTCTGCTAAACGGAATCGGACTTTCTAATATCCGAAAAAAAACATCCCGTCTAAGTGTGCTAATATATTCAAGAATCCGACAAATGCATAAATAAACGCCGCACCGAAAAACTGAAATTTGCAAAAATGAAACTTATGCCAAAAAAGGAATTAAATAATGGGAAATATAAACCACTCGGTGAATAATTTATACCCTTTTACACTCATTTCTAATGAAGCAGGGGTAACCCTTAATCGGATCATCTATCCTTATGTGATTATGGTGATGAAGAAAGTTCGTGCTTGAAAGACAAGTTGATCAAAAAGTTGCTAATGATGTTACCTGCCCGTGAGACCCATTCTTTAGGGTATCAAAACCGGCCGGGGTTGGTAAACAATGCTTGTTTGTTAGCTTGACTGGAAGATTGTTTTGCAGACATAAATCTCAAGACCAACAGACAGTCCGAGTGAACAGATGGGGACCAGAAAAAAAGAACAGAGCCCGCAGGGCTAGAAGCGACCCAGACACAGGTCCACAATAAATTCACTTCACTTCAATCGGGTGATTTGAAATTTGGTTTATAGCCAATGTATTTGATTACTAATTCGCATTTATTTTACCAGCACCTTCTAGACATTTCAGTCTTCGATAATATAATCGATTCTATGATATTACTTTTTGTTTTTTGTTATACAAATAAATTCAATTAATTAAATCTTTGGATTTTTGGCTAAATTCGGATCACGTATCCTATATTATTTCTTGAATGTGGCAAAGATTGGATCACTTACCGAGTGTATCTCAACTTCGGCTAGAATGTCTTGGCCGAAATTCGATTTTTTGCTGCTAGCTCGCTTTTGGCAGGCATTTGAGTGAGGTTTGGCTGTCTGAGTATCGGAGTGTCTGTTCGGCTTATGTGTTCATTTGTTTATCGCCGGGACAGAACTCGAAAACCAGTTCCGCAGATGAAGTTCTATCGTAATTGCGTATAACTTTAAGTACAATACATTAAGGTCTAATTGACAGACAGACTGGCAGCCCAAAGTCGATTTCCCTGCCCCTGCCTCCTCTTTCTCACAAGAAATCGTCAAAATGCGATAGATGTGGCTCGTGTTGGTGTTGCGATTTATTATATCGGCATCAGCATGCGGAATTACGTAAGCACTTGTCGAGCAGTTGCCTTATGGCATTAAGTAATTCTCTTGGATCTCCGATGCCTTGAGCCGTTTCACGTCTTTGCGATTATTACTGCGACTGAGTCATTCAATGTCGAGTAATTACAGCCCTATCATCGAATCGTTCGCACATATATACGATCTCCAGGCCCCCGATCTCTTCCTGAAGTCTTTTGTTTACTCGTGCATGGAAAATTGATTAGCCTAAAAGTAATTAAAAGTCCAAGCGTTTTAAATTTATGAGCCTGAGCAGAGCAGAAGAAGTGAATTTGGTTTGAGAATTCTAAAAACTAATGATAAGTGCTATAAATTCTTATAAATAAATAAAAAAATAATTACATTACAAATTGTTGATATGTAAAAAATGTATTATTAAAATATTTTTCCGGCATATTATAATAAATATTACTTTACTTATTTATTTTACCTGTTACTCTTTTAAAACATACCTACCTCTAATATGCGAATCCAATTGTATTCCAAAGCGGAAAACTATTCCATAAAGTTGAGAAAGCAGTAAATCAGTAATGGAAAATGACTGGCTGGCGAAGTTTCGTATTCTGGATCTCTCTGGCGATCATAGTATTTATTTTTACCATCTGCCATAGTTGGCAAGGAAATGATCGAATATTGGGTCGAAATGGAACGTTGCGATTCGATCCCATTGCACTAAATGTCAGTCAAATGCAGTTCCTTGCCGGGCTTTCAGATTTAGAAGACCTTCGTAAAACTGTGCAAAGGATTGCGGTTAAGAGGGTGGTCGACTCCCCAGGACATATGGCGGTAAGAAACTTCATTGTGGATTACCTGAAGAAACTCGACTGGAAGGTGGAGCTGGATATTTTTACGGAGAAGGTGCCGATCCTGGGATCCCGAACCTTCCAAAATATAATGGCCCGGCAAAATCCAAAGGCGCAACGATACCTTATGCTGGGTTGCCATTACGACAGCAAGTATTTCAAGGACTTTGATTTTGTGGCCGCCACGGATTCAGCGGTTCCTTGTGCACTACTCCTAAATATGGCCAAAGTTCTGAAGGAACAGTTCCGTCGATCGAAGATCAGTTTAATGCTGGTCTTCTTCGACGGCGAGGAGGCATTCGGTCCGAATTGGACGGATGAGGACTCACTCTATGGATCCCGGCACTTGGCGGAACTTTGGGCGAAACGCGGTTTCCTGAACAACATCGATCTCTTCGTCCTGACCGATTTAATTGGAGCCAAAGATTTGGCCTTCGAAAATCACATTCCCAATACTTCAACTTGGTATAATCGATTCGTTCAGCTGGAGAGGAAACTCATCAAGTCGGGAATTCTGAGAACAGAGCGACCCATTTTTAAATCCGAGTTTAGCACGGGAAGAGATCCCGACGATGATCACCTGCCTTTCCTGCGACGCAGCGTTCCTGTGGTCCATCTGATATCCTGGAAGTTCCCAGACGTTTGGCATCTAGCCGGAGATTTGGAGCAGAATATCGATTATAATACTACGGAGCAATTCGGTCTTATTCTGCGAATGTTTGTAATGGAATACCTTAACTCAGCACCTGTTTAATCCTTTGGCTAAAAAAAAAATCTATTCTCTGGAAATGTTAGAACAATATCTAAAAAATATATAATATTTCACAAGAAGGGATTGGAAAATGTTGTATAAATCTCCTTTATTTAATTTAAAAGGGTTTGAAGTCAGATAGGTCAAATGAAGTGCTTTGCGATCGTTTCTTTATTAATGAAATGGCCACGATTCTGACTTTGGCTCGACCGCAGACTTCTGTGTGTTACTTTTCGCTTTTCGCCTGTGCTGGCAACCGAATCGTATCAAATTTCCATCCATCCGCCATCGTTTTTCCGCTCCCCAGTCGGCCAAAAGCCATCAGGCCACGGGCAACACTCAAAATTTATGTACGCTGCTCCCGCTCGCTGAAAGCAACACGAAAGTTAATTAAACTTGAAAATAATAAAAGCAAAGCGGAGCAGAACAGAAGCAGGAGCAGAAGGATATGGATGTGGATGTGGATGTGGCGAATAATGAAACACAAAAAGTGTACATCACAGCCAGCGGGCACCGAATGGCAGACACGAGTACTGGAATCGGCTGGGGATTGTATATATATCCCAGCATATATATATATATATACGGAGGTCGGTGGTCATCATTAGCATATCGCCGACAGCGGCGCGAAAAAGGGTTCCCATTTGAAAAGTTAATCGCCAGCTGATGCTGCACTGCGATTGCGAGTGGTGAACAGCCATGGGTGTGGGCTATGGGGGGAGTGGGGTGAAAGGGGGTGACGATGACTGCGTTGACACTGACAGCCACCCAAAAAACCCCCAGAACGACCCACCGAAGGCCATATCCCTGTCGTCGGACGTTATCTTCGGACTGCAATAAAAACGGACAATAATTAAAACTGGCAAATAGAACTGGCACACTGAGGCGCAGTCCCTCAGCACACTTCCCAAAAAATTCGAGAAAAGAATCATCATAACAAACGAATCGAATATTTAAATTATAAATAAATAAACCATTTATTTTAAGTATAAAAAATCAGATTATTAAAATAAAACATTACATAAAATTTATTGAAATGAAAAAAACGGTTTAATAATTAAATTTTAAATTCATAACTCTATCTGACATGTAACTATATCAGCGGTCGGCACACACATACGTTGACATTTTGTTTTATATTTGTGTGAGTAATTTGCACTGGGCAGCTCATCGATGTCTGTGTCCAGACCGCTGTTCTACGTTATACGTGTGGGAGCAGAGCGCCGACGGAACAAAACCCTATGCTCACTTAGTAGGGCGCTGCCGACCGCTGAACTATATATATTTTCAATATTTAGGTACTAAACATTTATATATTTGTATATAAATAACAAAATTTGTTTGCTTCATATAGCACATGAAATTAACTAAATAATAAAATATAACCCGAAATTAAACACAGTGTATAATTTAATACCATTTATATTCAGAGAATTTAATTATCCGTATTAAATCATAAATCATTATTCATAAGTCCAATTTTCCTGGCGTTGCTCTAATTGTCGGGTTTTGACATCAAACAAGCTCCTTTTTCAGTGCATTCAGGATTGATTAAGCCCAAAGGGAAATTGTGCTTTTGACTAAATACTGATAGCATGTTAATTCAAAGGGCCTCCTTTGAGCATTTTAGGGGATTTCTTTTCCAATATTTTTCCAAGAATATTTCTTTCATTCCTTTTCTTTTGCTTAACGGAAAAACAAAGTATGGGTATTACCACGAAAGTCTTGCCCAACATTCATTAACAGTCTGCCGTCATTCGCCTAACCCTTTTCTGCTTAATCAACAAAAAATTGTGTACTTACAAATACATATAATTTGTACAGTCCGTTTCAGAAGTATAAGATTAATTAATAATTATATGGGGTACTTTGAGAAAACGTCAGCAGCAAAATGAAAATATGTTTGGCATTTTCTGGTTGAGTAGAATCTATTATCCTGATGAATTTACAGTTCTGTTACGTACTGTACACGAAAAAACTTATCACATTTTCCGGTTTGCTCGCTGTTTGAATTACTGCAGGTCCGCCTTTGCTGGCCTCCTGTTTTTCACTTTTTTTTTCAAACAAATAACCGTAAAAATCTTTGCCATCCACATCAGTCGTAAAAAGGGGATTTCATTTTAATTACATACGAATTTCACGTTTTTTTTTCCAGCTTCAGATTCAGCTTTTGCTTTTTAGGTTTTGGGTTTTTTGTGTGTGCTCGGTGAATGGGTGCGAGTGCATCGGCGGATGATATAGAGAGTGCCTAACCCCCGAGCCTCTTTGTGAAACGCTTTCCGCCGTGTGTTGACTTTTATAATTAAGCCTTTTGTGTACATTTCCAGTTGACGGCACCCTGGGGGTTGGGGCAGAAGAGGAAGATCCACCCCTGAGTGCTCACCTGGCTGAAAAAGAGGTGGGGGAGCATCATAAAAAGGATTAATTGTGCGCAATTAAAGAAAATATATTACCAAGTACGGGGCCAAGTTTCGTAACGTTTTTGGTTTCTTTTTTTTCTTTGCTGGCCTTGAGTCCTCGTCGGATTCGAAAAGTTTGCCACCATTGAATTATGCAAAATCATTTAAATGCGTCGCCCCGAAAAGTTTTGCCAACATTTCTCCGACGACTTAACCACTTTGGCATGTGTCTCAGGATCTTATTGTTATTGTTCTTGTTGTTTGCCGGGGGCTTAAGTTCATAATGTTCATAGAGAGAGAGAGAGCGTTCCGCCTGTGGAAAAAGGGACTGGAAAAGGGCTCGAGTGGGTGGCGGTGTCCCGATCACAATTGCCAGGACAATGGAGGCGGCATCCCTTTCCCTTCCACATGCGTTGCCGGGTTAATTGCTCAAGTTCAAAATTAAAATATTTATTACAATGAAAAACTTTGGCACTTTCGCGACGCCAACGTGACGAACAAAAGGCAGCTTACGAGTAAGTACTCCTCCTCAACCTCAAAGTTCCCCCTCCACCTCCACATGGGAGTTGTTTAATTTGTTTTCCGCTTAGTGATGTTTGCCCGAGTGTGTGGAGTGTGTTGGGTGTGTGGCTGCGGACGTGGATGTGGTGGCCCTTTTTGAAAGGGGAACGGTGCTGGCACACCGGAACAATGGAACTTGTCATAAATTAAATAATATCACAAGAGCGCAGAAAAGCCTCTTTCTAATTGACACACAAGCTGTACTTCCATTGTGAACTGTACTTCCATGGGTTTATGTGGAAAGTAAACGAGTATTTGCAGTTTGCTTCACTGTGAGTCAATATTTTGGCACTCAAAAATAAACAATTCTTTCAGATAGTTGAAAAATTTGCTATTATAAATTTAAAGTAGAGGTTTCAATCACTAGTTTTTGGTGTAATTTAATACACGATAATAAAACATAGATAATAAGTTTTGATAAAAATATTACTAAACCTTTTTATTTAAATAAAAAATTTAAACGTAAAGGCATACGAGTTTTTAATACTTTTTCATAATATATATAAAATAATAATATAGATTTATAATTATAACACCCGTTAAAAAAATATTAAAAATTTTTTTAAATAATTATTTTGCACTTTATTTTGTAGATTGAATTTGCTTACTTTTCCCATCTTCCGATTTCTGGCTTTTCCAACCCCACGGTTTACTTCTCTTCGTTTCTGTAAACAGCCCGCAAAATACGGTGTTTGCCTTTGATTGATTTTATTGTTGGCAATTCGATTATTCGTACCCAGTCCTTGGGGTGCTGAGATCTCCCCATTTAATAAGCTCTATTGCCAACCTCTGGTGGCTGGCCATTAGAACAGGTGTTGCCTGTGGCCTTACTTCCCTTCAATCTGCCGTAAAGATATCGCAGGGGGAAAAAGGCGAAACATGTTTGCCAACGCTTTAAAAATGTAACATGCGGCGCTTTTTCATCATCCTTTGCCTCGCTTTCCCCCGATTTTCCCCTGCCGCCCAGCTTCTCCACCTAGTCTCGATTATCATTTGAGTGTATTGAAAATTTGAAACGCATGAATAGTCAGGCTAGATCGGCCTGGGGCTAAATACATATGAATGTATCCTGTATATATATGTGTGAATGGGAGTCGGGTCAGACGGCCACCGAGGCATTCCAAGGGTTTATCTGGGCACTTCAGTTGGATTTTTCCAGGGGAGTGGGCGGATATGAAGGATGGCGGATATGGCCAAACACATCCGTTGGCAGATGTTTTTCACATACCTCACAGCGCACTCGCCAACCCAGGCCGACATGTCGACATACCCTTTCGATACAGAACTAAGGATAAGAGTTAAACGGTTTTAAATAAAATATAAATAAAAAATATCTCAAAAAAATAATCCTTATGTTTATAGTAGTTTAAGTATAGAGATTCGGGTATATAAAATCCAAAAAGTAAAAATATTTCCTAATAACAATTCATTTCTCATTGAAATGATTTAAAATTGATTAATTTTGCATTGAATTATTGAAGGAAATATAAATTTATTTAAAACCCTTATTACTTTCCTTTCCAAATTACTGAAACAATTTTTAAAAATTAAAATCAGGACTTTGATTATATTTAAAATCAGTGGCGGATCCAGGATTTTTTTGTGGGGGGTGATATCAGAACAATTTTTTGTTGCATACTTTTTGAATACCCAAATTTCTTTCATTTTTCACCCGATTGGGGGGTGATATATCACCCATATCACCCCCCGTGGATCCGCGCATGTTTAAAATATTTTCCTTGTAAACCTAGGGTATTGCTTATATCGGTTGTCTCGAGACCTTCGCATTGCATCCATTAACTTTAGCGGTGCCCAGAATGAGCAAGTGTAGCGGAAATGATTTGGTAGCTCCAGTCCCTAGACACCCCGATTCAGTCCAACCTTCTGGCTCCCTCGTGGATCAAATTTTCATCTTCACTTACGAGTTCTCGGTGATTGAAAAGTGTTTTGCTTGTGTTGTTGCTATAAATTGAAGTTTTCTATTATCTTTATCGGGTGAGCAGCAGGCTGTGAGCTTTGCCGACTGGTTTCGATTTTCGGGCGTCTGTAAATGCATTTTTTGCAAAGGTAACCCCAAGAAAATGCCATTATAATCATGAAAATAATGTAATAGTTATTATACGTTCTTTATTTAGTTTTCTGTTTTTTTTTTTAACCAATGAAGCGGCGCTTTAAGAGATATACAATAGCAAATGGTGCCGAAACATAAAGAGTCCCTGGCAAGGTTAATTCGCGACTTTTCTTTGGAATAAGATTCGCCAAATAATCTACACTTGGAATCTCTTGAGAATTCTCACTTAAGTATATAGTGCGACCATCCAAAGTTATTTCAAAATCGTTCAGCTGTATTATGCGCTATAAATATTGGAATGTTTAAAATCGTCTTCTTACTTAAATTAATTAATTAAAAGGTCTTACCAATAAAATGAGAGCCAAAATTAAACAAACGGGTAAAAGAGCAGCCCGCATCTTTGCTGCAAGGGGGATAATGCTACAAAGCATTGTAATCAATCTCGTGAAACTGAATTGTAAGCAGCAAAAGCCGAGAAGGACCCCACAAATTTTCAAGGGAATCAACGGTTTAAAAAATCCGCTATACACACGGAACTCCGGAAGCCTCTCCTGCAGTTCAGTTGTAAAGTTTTCATACTCGTTGGCATTGTGCAAACTGAAAAATATTTATAAACATATGTTCTGTAAATAATATCTATTCAGTTCTGTAAAAAATTATTTAATAAAAATCATTACTACAATTTCAAATTTTCAGCAGAAAGCTAAATTTTTTATTAAATGCAAAACTAAGTTGCAAGTTGCCTTTATTACAAATATGTTTAAAATTCTATGACATTCTACGTTTCGAAAAGATTCTAAGAGAGATATCATAACTATCGCTAAATATACTCACGGAAAACTAATAAAAATCGCTTTATGAATAAATTTAGCGTATACAATTGATCCCAAAATCAGCGCTAACAGGAGACCCATGACTTTACTCTAGAACAAATCGCAGAAAACTACTTATTTGAATGATCACATCGAACCGTCAAACCCTCTAATCCGACAAGTTCCAAGTTGCATTGCATATTCCGCAGCGAAATTGATTTCAGTAATCGCCACGTCAGTAGTTCGAAGCTGTCTACAATTTCACAAAGCAGCTTTATTCGTGATTACAAACATTGTATTATAATACAATGTAAATAAATATTTACCTAAAGTGAGTGCCTTTAATTCAGGGGAAAACCCGAAGTCCGATTTGAAATAATAGAAATGTTTTTGATATTTTTTTAAAACCTTTATAACAAACTAGTTAATTAAAGTTTTAATTCTCACTAAAAAATGTAAGTAATGTGTGGTTTAAGACAGGGATTTCATGGAAGCTCTGTTGGGGATGTTGAAAGCCCAATTCATTTCCTCCAGTACTTTTTGCACTCATCGTCATTATCATCATCCTCCTCGCTCGTTCGTCATTATCGAGCCGGAGAATTTCAGCTGTCATTACTTTTTATGGCCCAGCAACATGATGCACTTGCCCTGCCCCATGTGGTTGAGCTGGGTCTGTCGGAAAAGTGTGGGTGGTTGGGGAAACGATGGAACGATGGGCTATGGGCGGGGTTGGTGTTTTGTAGCTGAGGCTGACTGGCAGTTAAAATATAATTTCAGGAAAGAAATCATCATAGAGCCCGAGCAGAAGCCCCAGCGTCGAGAGGCAGTAAAAGTAAAACATCAAAGTGAATACCAGGGTGGTGGTGCCTTCAACGGAAGGGGGTGGTGGTGGTGGTGGTGCTGGGTGGTGCAAGGAAGCTGCTCCGTTTGTCACCGGTAGGGGACGCCATGGGCGGTAGGGGGGCGTTGCAGGCTGTTGGTTGTCGAGAGTGAATTGTAAAAGAACGCATTTATCCGAGGTCCTTTCCCATCCACATGCGTCTGCATTCCACCCACTCCACACTCCCCTCTGCCTTCTTCTTCATCTCTCCCACTGTTTTGTTTCATTTTTCACTTATCTGCATGTGAATACCTTACACAGAAAGAAAATTCACTATTTAAAATGGTATACAGAAAATAAATAAAATTATAATAAAATATTGTTGTATATCTTAATTATCAATGAAATATCATCTGAAATTCTTTGTAGAAAATTAAAGAGTGAATTTTCCTCTTAAAATATAAGCTTACACATTTTTTGGAACATTTTTTGGCGATGCTGAAACGGCAGTCACGCTTTGAGCTGGAAATTGTCAGCCGTTTGATTGTGTAATTGATTTAGCGAGAAAAAAACTCGTTGGGAGATAGACTCTTTCAGCCGACCACCACCCCCTTACACTCCCCCTCCCTTTTCATTCGCCAATCCGTTTAAAGTCGTTGGCTAATTAAGTTGCGTCCCCAAATGGCAGCAAAGTGGAAAATGAAAGGGGATGGTTGGAAAAAATGCGAAGGACTCGCAATTTTTTCTCTTATCGCTCTGGTCATAAATGAGACTTACCATTTTACACCGCAACCCAGCACCGCCCACCACCCACCACCCACCGAATGTAAGCGATTTCAATTGCCAGTCCTCGACACCAAAAGTTTACGATCGCTGCTGGTGTTTTTTATTTCGGTCTTAATTTTTATAAATTTCTTTGCCCTCCCTAAAGGGTATACCAATGTTTTTAAAAATTAAGTAGTTGTATGTAAAAGCAAATATTATGATAAACAAACTTGTAGATTTTTAAAAATACATAAAATAATAAAATGAGTTTTTAAATCCCACTTGAAAAATCAATTAAATTTAATAATTTCTTTCAACTAGAAAAGGGTATTTAATGATTGCATTGCATTTTCCCTCTCCTTATTATACGACTGTCACTGTCTGGTGGGACATTAATTTTAATGTCGTCGAAAGGATTTTAAAATAAATTTGGACAGAAAAATAAAATATAATTCAGTCGAGAGCGGTCGTTAAAAAATAGACACCAGCCGTGTTTACCTATAAAAAATACTAAATAAATATAGCATGGTAAATGCTTCAATATCTAGCGAGTGGCTGCGGAAAAGGGGGATTTCTGTGGGAAATTTGGCATTTGAGCACGCGAGTTTTTATTACCGAGACAATGAAACGGCAGAGTGGGCTCCAAGCTACCGAACAGTGAGGTGGAAAAGTCTCTGTACCCGCAAAGCCCACATAAAAACGCCGTAAAACTCTAAACCGACCGCAAAGTGGGGAGCCTGTGCCAACCTGGCAAAAGCAATATTCAAAATCGTATTTCGCAATCGATGCAGATGGTTCAGATTAAAAGTGGAAGGCGTTCAATGCGGAATATTCTATCAAGAAAACTAATAAAAATACTAGTTAAAATTTATCTACAAATCACATAAATATCACTAGCTTGAAAAATAATTTACTTAAACTACCGAAAAATAAAGTCTGGTCTCCCCTTGTTTCGAAAGCTTTACTATTATATTAATTTAAAAAGTTTAAAGACTTTTCGCAGCCTCAGATGCGGTTTGTGCAACCCCGAACCGAGGGGAAATTAGCTTTTAACACCCGAAGAGAAAAATTGGTACCAGAAAACTAACAGAGAGAGAGTGGTGAGGGGGAGGGCGGTGTGGCAGCGGCTTATTTGAAACGAATTTTAATTAAAACACAACGGAAAAGTTTCGGCTGGGACAGGAAACTTCCCCTGCTCTCTGGCCGTACACTTAAAGTTAAGTTCCAGGACTGTCAGGCACTGTTCAGGCCACTTTTTCAGGTCCCTTGAAAATGACAGGGGTATATATTCAGAGATAAGAACTAGGACACAATTTCCGATTTTTTTCATCTAAAAAAAGTTGTTGATAATTTATTTTTGACAAAGTACATAAATCAATAAATTTTAACTACTAAACTTCGAAAGTTCTCTTTATAAAGAAATTTATATTATTACTCTAACATCTTTCTAATCCCAAGATTTTAAATCAAAGATATAGCTGAAACTGCATGTGTCCTGTTCAATCGCTGTAAATGCTGGATGCGTTGCAGAATAGAAGGCCTCAAGCGATGCCACATGAGGTACCAGTGGTCCACGTAGGGGAACTCGTTATCATCCGTGAAAAGTTTGAGCAGGGCAGCCTTCATCGCTGATCCGAAGCCCCGTCGAACGACATAGGCATCTGCGGCGTACTCAAAGTGCCGAATGAAGAAGAACACCATCCAAGTGCTGATGTCGCGAAATACCGGCATCAGGTATTTGTAAACCAGCCAGAAGCCCACGGTCTTAGGATACAGTGGCGTGAAGCCCGCAGCCCAATAGAGGGTCTGCCAATTGTAGCACAATCCAAAGAGCACAAGATATATGAAGAGATTCAGGTAAATCAGAGCCAAGGCCTTGGCCACATGACGCAAGTGCCAGTGGGCCAGTTGGTGGGCCACAAAGGCGGCCAACTGCTCGTCCTTTAGGCCAGCTCCCACCTCACCCGAGTCCAGGTCATCCGAGTCCAGGCCGCGGTTTAACTTCAGGTTGTCGTGGATATCCAATCGCAGGCAACAGAAGCAACCCATCACCCAGGCAGTGGGACGTCCTATTTGAAAGGTGTGCACCAGATAAACCCGCCCTGGAAACTTGAAGCTATGCAGTACTTCTTTTAAATCATCATTAATATCCGCATCCTCCAATTTGCGGCTCTTGCCCAGACAGGGTACCCCAAAAATTCCAACAAAGCCCAAAATGAACAGGGACAGGCCCACTAGAATTAGCCAAACGAGCAAGATGCAATACCACACATTTAACTCCTGAATGGCCATGAAAATAGCAGTGAACGGGATTATGGCAATCTGTGAGAAATTTACAAAGATTAATTTAGGAAAGCAAACTTAAGTTGCTTTTATTTATACGGACGGACAAACGGACATACGGCGTATACGGACAAACGAAGTATACAAAACCCACCTGCAGAAAAACTACGACGAAAGCCAACGCACAAATCATACCCACTAATGGCGGTGATTTTTCAGGATCCACATTGAATTTAGGATCCAGGACAAGTTTCTCGTAAAATAGGGATGGCAGCATGCGAATCACCAGATATGTGGAAAACATCGTCATATATGTCACATTCAGCCAGATATCGTCCGCATAGCGATACCAGCCCACCGTGATCTTCCAAAAGTACGCCAATGTGGAAAGGTACAGGTCAAGACAGCTATATATGGTATCAAGTATTAGATTGAAGACCTCCAGATAGGACGTATGAAGTTGCTTATCCTTCGAGACCTAAAAATAAATTTTTTAAGGAAAAAGTGAATTTATTACAATGTTATTTTTACTAAAATATACTTTAATAAACCCACCTCGAAGGCTTCTGGCGACATACTGTCATCCATTAGCGACGGTGGATCATTGCTTCTTTTGCACAATTTTAACTGCCGGCGGCAGAGAATCAGGTGAAAACAATTGTGAGCCACTATCAACAGACAGAGGATGTGACGCAGAAGAATCGGATCGGAGATTTTCATTTTATCAGGAACCATATTCAAGCCGATTTCATATCCCGATATCACCAGATGTTCGCCATGCAGCGGGTCTTCATAAAGTGCGAAAGTATGCATGTCTATAAGTCGAACTTTGTATGTGTAAAATAATAGAATACAAAAATGAATGGAATACAAAAGTCAACTAGGAGAAACCTATTTCCTAACCTTAATTCGGTGCATAAAAAATCCAAATGATTTTTAAATTATATTATATTATTTATATTTTTTATAACGTTTGAAATATGGTACCATTTATTTTATTTCTTCAAAGCAAATCAAGTAGCTGCTAGCAGTGTCAACCGAAAAGCAAATACTTCGCCCTAACATCCTTATAATCCCGATGTCATAAGGGACCGGATTACTTTCCTGCCAATCGAGGGCGAAAAACGGATTCTAAGCGTTGACTAGTGGAAGCCAAAGATTATAATGGCGCCAAAGAAATTACAAATGACGAGGAACAGCGTGTGTGGTGGTTTACTTCTTGTGTGCAATGGTTCTTTGTAGTTTGTTTCGAGGATTTGAACTTCTTACGCTTGGCATATCAATAATGAGGCTAGGGCTTGGCGGGATTCTAGGGGGAATTGTGTTGCCAAGCTGGCTGCTTTGATGGTTTCGGTTCAACGCCATTACTTAACCCGCCCCCCACCCGCCCACTTAACCATATGAACACACACATCACACACAAATGCGCGAACATTCACTTGGCATCTCTAATTAGTAGAATTTAATCTTCACACTATGGCAACGTCAAACGTCCCGAACTGCGACCTCCCAAGCCACCCCCACCATACTTTATTCCACCCATTGCGCTGCTCATTATGAAAAATTTCAAATTAAAAAGACGAGGGTAGTGGAGCCTGCATGGAGAAAAAATATATCCTATATTATAAATAAATAAATTACATAATTTCTTATCCGGAAAAAATATTAAGAAAAGGAATACCAAATTCGAAAAACTAAAGGATTGGTATTTTTAATGATGATCTAAGAAAAAGTTCTAATTGAAATAAACCCTTAAAAGTTATAAAATTGTTGGCTAATCAAACCTCTAAAAAATCTATATATTATAAAATATAAAAAATTTAATCCTAAAAAGCTAAGATCCCAGTAAAAAGTAAAGAACCTAAATTTTTTTCTCCGTGTGAAACAAAGTAAAAGTTTCTCGGAAGAAGTAACGGTAGGATTTGCATAAATACCAGGACATGTGTGGCCGTGTGTGTGTGTTAGTATCACACATCATGATTACATAATTTAGCTATTAAAACAGCGCCAAGTGGCTGGCTAAAGCGAGAAGGAGCGAGTAGACCAAAAAGAGCGAGGGACTGGGAAAGAGGGCGGCTTATTTATGCCTCAACACGCCGTTTGGCGCAGCTTCAAAGGATCCGAAACATGGGCGGTCGTTGCAAGGGGGGTGCTTCTGTGGAGGGGCTAGTGGTTAAGGGTGAAAAAGGGGGGCACAGCCTGTGAGGGGTATTCCAGTTCAACGGCACACATGTGCACTTGATTTACTCATTAGCGTTACTTTTCTGTTCATAATAGGGCGCTTACCAAGCCGGAAACCGCAGCCTTCTCGGCCCCCCTTCCCCAGTTCTCATTTCACAGACCCCCTCTCATCCGTACCCCCTCCCCGCCCATGGCAGCCACATTTGGATTCATTTCGAACCGTTCGAGATGCGTTGGTATAAGCCGCTTAGGCGTATCCTTTGTGCATGTGTAATTGTGCTGGCCCTCACACACTGCCCCACCCCCACTTTTCATCTTTCCCACCCCTCACACACACACACGCACGCACACACCCACGACTAAGCCCTAATAATCCCCACTATTTTGGCCAAAATAAGGAGGGAGAAAGGTAAGACACTGCCAAAAAATTACAATTACTGTTTTTATTTATAGAAACCTTAAAATAAAATCAGAAAAATAAGTAATTTGAATGACTTAATCAAAATACATAAAAAACTTAAACACAATGTTAAAAATGATGTAAACAATTTAAATTTTTAACAAGATTTTTGAAGGATTTTTAAAAGAGGATCGAACTATTGGTTGCATATTGCAAATGATTTGGTATCATGACTAAAAAAGCTACATGAAATCATGATTTATAATTTTTTAAGCTCATCCATTGCATCGCAAATTTCTCTCAGTGAACATGCGTAACTAAGTAGCAACCCAAAATGCTGTGCCCATTTTTGCTTCTCTCTCCATTCTTGGGCAAAGTCAAAATTTAACATTTCACATTTGCCAAAGGCTGAACATGTTCAAATGGGTTTCCTTGGCTACCAAGGATACATTCTGCAGATTCAGCCTGTGAATAGTTAGCCAGAAAGAAAGGTTTACAGGGCTGGCAATCTTGGATTTCATCTCAAAAAAGGGGTATATAAATAAAGATTTACTTTAAATAGAGTTGAACCTTGACAAATTGCACTATTCCCAAGAATTATCTAAATGAAAAGTCTTACCCATATCAAATCGAAGTAGTCTTTAGTATTGTCAATGGAGACATAAAAAGCTTTTCATTAAAAGGGGAAGTTATTGTAAAGGGAGTTTTTCAAGATAAATTAAAAAGGTATATCATTGTTCACTTTAATAACTATCCAAGGAATCAAACCCTGCACTTACAATGTAGTAACATATTTTTAAAAACTTTAACACAGGGGATTTTAAGAACCTTTCTAACTTCTTCCCCCTGGAGTTTTCAAGACACAGTCCGATTTAGTTGAATTATTGCCGAGGTAATCCTAAGCCGTATAATTATGTGGTTTTGACTCCAGACAGCGGTTGAACAATTTACCTGAGGGTTTGATAAATTTCCTCGGCTCCTTGGGTTGTCCTGCCCCGAGTTGTTTGATATATGTGTGCTGCCTCAATTATATTGTGCAATTGGGTAGGAGATAATCCGAAACTGATTCGGATTTGTTGCGGTCAAGTTGTGTGCCGTCATCTTCGGCAATCGATAGGCCTCCTATGTATATCTTGGAGAGCACTTGAATCTGGGGATTTGTTTTCGTAGACCATCTATTATGCGCGATAAGATCGCAACGTGAATAGAAGTTTCCGTTCCGTGATAAAGGGATTTTAAATTAATAATTCACTCTCGCTGCACGAACGTGAAAAACGTCGGAAAATTGCTCAATTTTCCATGCGAACAAGGTAAAACGGTGGAGAAAAAAAATGAAAGAGAAAGAGAAATTTATGCTAATTTTTCGACAACTATCACTGGCTCAACATCGGTGGTACGTGGACGGCAGCCCACCCGAAAACGCAGACCCACCAAACCTGATGGTCATGTAATGTCGGCGGAGGCAGCGTAACGAAGTAACCTAATTAATTTGTGGCACTCATTAGCAACAATTGAAAATGCCAAAGTCAGCAGAAGCAGCTCCTCCAGCCAGCTCCCCCTTTTTATTCCCAACCCCCTGTCACTCGTCAACTCAACCAGAAGTTGGAAATGCCCATAATGAGTGTGGAGCATTCGACTAACGCCCCTGCCCCGCCCCCAGCTGTTCCAATTCTCCCCATTTTGTACGGGAAAAAAACCAATTTTGGTGGGGTAAAAGTATTTATGTGTATTCCATTAGAACGGTTAGAAGACTTTTTGATACTCTGATATAAGACGATTTTCCAAAGTATATTTAAAAATATAAAATCGTTTGGAACTCCTCCTGTAACTCTATAATTATTAAAATAATTTTGTTTAGCAATTCAAAAAGCAAGGTGACAATTTAAATCTAATTGTTAGTCAGTTTTAACTAAGAATTCCCTTTACGTGCCCTTTAAATAATTATAATTGGTACTCACGATTTTCCAGCCGACATATTTATGTCCCTTATATTCAAATACATTGCACATTTAAATACTTAAATTGTGACGTGATCTGAATTAAAATGGTAGCATACACGATCTGTTTTAAAACCAATTTGGGTATATGAATATGCTATAAATTTACCGCACATGTGCAACGTGACTCATTGCGTTCCCATACTTTCTTTCGCATTAGAAAAGTCATAAATTTGTACCACTCACGATATGTTAAAAGCAAAAAGGGCTCTTGACTTTATAAAACTTTAGTATACACAATTAAAAATGTTCACTTTTATTAAAATGCAGTAAAAATAAAATTTAATTCATCAGTTCCCATCAAATGTCAGTTATTCAATTAGAGACCCGATAATTTGTTCTCATTGGGAGTGTCACAAATAAAGACGCTTCCGCACATTCTCCAGTAGTCCTGGGGTGTGTACTCCTTCCCAATCTATCAATTAAGATTAATGTCCATTTCGATGGATTCCTCGATCATTTATAACGATTGTTTGCGAGACATCTTCATCGAAGGCAGGCGACCGACCATCGATCAACACTGAAATGTTGTCTAAGCAGCTTGCTTTCGACTTCCTGAGATCGTTGGGCTAATGATCTTTCTGGGCCAGAAAACAATCACAACTTAGAGCCCTTGAAAGGTTATCAGTTTCAGTAAAGGAAGGGATACCTTTCTACCTACCAAAATATTTATTTTTATGGGAACTAAAAAATATAATAAATTAATTTAAAACTGTTGAAATAATTAAATTAAATATTAAAATTCAATGAAAATGGAGTTACATTTATTTATAAAAATATTCAGCCTTAATTAAGCACCCAAGTAGGATACAAAATAAAAATTCCTAACATCCCTTACCACTTCTCACGCTGTCAGGAAGAGCAAATGGACCCGGGCTAATGGGCAGGTGTAGGGCATCAAATACCAAAAAATGTTAACTAATTTTCGGCTTTGCTGCGTTGACGTGTGAAGCGCGGGGCGGGGTGCCACCATCACCTGCCCTTGGTTAGTTAGCTGGCCAAAAATACAAACACAAACACAAAAACCTTGGATTGTGCGTGAGCCGGTCCTATTCGAGGCCCTGTCAGTCGTCACTCAGCCGGCCCTTGGCTTTTTCCCTCCCCCATTCCAGGCATGACATTTTTACCAACGGCCGGTGCGATATGCAAAATCGTTTGACCCAAAGTCCCAGGGCCCAAAACCCCAGACCCCGAACCCGAGCCCGATCGCTATCTGGGCGCTAATATATACCGCCGCTGCCGCAAATGCCTTCGGTAATGCATAATT